TTGTTTCTCACATGAAACGATCGGGGCCCATCAGTCGACGTGAAAATTCATATAGCTACACGTCTCATTGTAGATCTGTAGAAAAACTCAAAAGTCCGAAGTAATTACATCTCTCGTACTAAACATGACACGATGTTAAATACTTCAAACATTATTATGTGTGCTATTGAAACCCGGGGGCGCACTGGTCTTTAAATTTTGAAGAGGTGTGAGGCAGGGAGGTAAAGCCCAACAACTCTACCATAGACCATTTTCACCTAAAAAATCATACCCCATTATAGACCAAATAGTGACTTTGTATATCCCATCAGAGACCAAATTCTCACTAAATTTATTAGGTTATAGGTTGAATTGTTGATGATTTCATTACGCATGCGCTAAATTCGTATGAATGGATGAATGATGGCCGATGGTTGCAGACGTCGGCGATCCGCTACGTGAAATTGTACCAATAAAAGTACTTCAGTAAATACATGGCAATTAAAAAAAAAAACAGACCTCATCCTAGACCGACAAACCTGATATTGGACCAAAAAGAAAGCATTGTCAAATCTATACCTCCCATTCTAGACCAAACAGCTAAAATGTACGACCCCCAATGAGCGCCACGTTGCCATTATGTGATTTGCATTAAGTGCCTTCCCGGGATTGAAACATAGTGATAACTGTGCTCCACAAAAATACCATAATACTGAACTACTGGGATAGAAACAGCATTGTAAGTTCAGTAACCTCTAACCACACTGGTTCTATTGAAATGCAGAGTGGTGAAAACAAGTTGCGTAAAGTCAATTTTCAAGCAATTATAATGACTTTGTCTGAATCACCATGAACTGTTGGTTGTGTTATTAACAATTATTACTTGAAACAGCGAATGCGATATCTTGTCTAAAATTGTAATTTGGTCTGGATAATTGAAAAATATACTCTCATTGTTAAATTTTTGTCTACATTTTGGCCCATTACACATCTCCTATACATGACATTTGGAAATTATTAATCACAGGCAGAACAAATAAACTAATATTATTATCCCTGTGCCTAGATGGCGCTGTTCGTCAATAGGTTGGGGGTATTACAGGTACGTTGCCTAGGATACAATGTATGAAAACGGTCTCATGAGATACATAATCTTCCCAAGTAAAAGTCTCATGATATTGTGCCATCACCCTAATTAGCAGATTAGAGACATTTAATCTATAAATAGTTGGATGCACTCAAAATAATATATGCTTGCACGATTTTGTTCAAAACTAATTAACGATGTCCATAGCTTGTCAATTCTAAGTAGACATTTTATGATTTGGATGTGAGTGGCATTGGAAACAAATTGGCCATATTTCGAATTTTCTGAACAAATTCTGAGATTAAGTTATGCGCGAAAAATATTTTAATATGGTTGACCTGGTTTTGACTGAGAAGAAAATTGTTTGTACTGTTTCGGATAACCGATACTGCTGTTTCATTCTTCACTCAACAAAGTCAGTTATACATACAATGACCGAGTCGGATTTCGAGAGAGAATGCAGCCTATATCAATTCAATAATATATATTAATTACATACCGAACAGCAAAATGATATATGAAACGTTTCTGTCCGCAGATTGAGTTGAAATAAGTCTAAAGTCTTAACTGTTTCTGCAATCAGATATCAGCGTGAACCACGAAAGCCCAGGTGATAAGTCACAACAACCCACCAACTACAACATATTAATAAATATGAAGTAGCAGGGTAATATCACCTCAGCCCCCCCCCCCCCCCCAATCATTCTACCGGCTATCCAGGCAGAATATCGGCTACAACCACACAACTCTGAGTGATATATAACCTCAACCCACCGACCACACAGATCAATCCAGGTGATATATCACGACGGAATATCGGCTACAACCAACTTCGAGTGATATATAATATCAACACAGCTTCAAACCCACAGCTATAGGTGTATTTATTCACTATGACCACTAAATGTATTCATGTTTGAAATGCGTCTGAAACATGTTTATATTTGTGATATGTTTGAAACATGTTTCAGATATGTTTACATAAATTTTACGTAGAATGTTTCAATCAAGCTCAAAACATGTCCCAAATCTGTGTTGTTGTAGCTAGTTTCAAACTAGTGTCTGGAGCATGTTTCGAAAAACATCTGAAGAATGTCTCATGACACAGTCATTTTCCAGACTTGTCCGGAACATGAATGACACTAGTTCTATTTCGGCAAGGGAATGTATACCACCAACCTACCGGCTATACAGAACAATCCAGGTGATATATCACAGAATAATACATCTACAACCCCACTACTATGAGTGATATGCAACAGCACCTCACAGTCTACACAAATCAATCCAGGTGATATAACACAACAAAATGGCAGTTACAATATACGTAAATCAAAGTTACCCATCATCATATCTCCAGACGCAAAATAATATCACAATAATTTTAAAAATGTATAACGTACTACAATTTGAGCGGGAGATAATTCAGTTATATTGTCAGTATGGAAGATATTAGTTAATGTAGATGTATTTATGATAACGTTAGTATTTTATGAAATAGTGTATGTTTATTGTATTATGTGACCAGGATTACGGGCCAAGATCAACGATATAAGAATGCGTTATCAAAGCTGAGAGTTTTAATTATTTTATCTATTACAGTGTCATTTTCGAAAACACAAAATAACTATAAAAATGCGAACGCCATCTTGTAAAAACAAATTTCAGCACAGTATGTATATATATATATATATATATATGTAAAAATATATATGTTTGCAATGCAATATATATACATCATTTTAGCTCCACATAATCTCAATAAACTTAAGGCAAATATCAAATCAATCTGTTCGGAAGTAAGATATTTCATGTTTTTCTTGTTAATCTCTTGAGCAAACAAATAACTTTTGAGAAAAATTGTATTAACTTTAAATCCATGAGACATTATCCAGTGTACG